AGAGCTCCTATGGTACTTTAGTAAATATTAAATATTTTAACAGCTTGTTGATCAACATTAAGAAAACCCCACACATTTCACTCATTTACAGTGTATAATTCAATGTCTTTTAGAATATTCACTATAAAAGTTGTGCATACATCAGGACAATTCATTTTAGAACATTGTTGTTGTTAAGTGCCGTCAAGTCGATTCTGACCCATAGCGACCTTGTATAGAGTTTCCAAGGAGCAGCTGGTGAGCTTGAACCACCAACCTTGCAGTTCAAATGACTTTATAGTCTGATGCATTAGCCACCAGCACCACACCTGGACTCCTTTAGAACATTACTATCCGTAAAAGAAACCTCATGAGGAGGGCACAGGGCTGGGCAGTGTTTTGTTCTGTTGTACACAGGGTCATTATGAGTAAGAACCAGCTCAATGGCACCTAACAGCAACAACACCACCAAAACCCACACTCTTCAGCCATCACTTCTCACCATTTTCCCAACCCCCAGTCCTTGGCAACAACTAATCTGTTTTCTCCCAACACAGATTTGCTTTCTCTGGCTAGTTCATATAAATGGAAGCATACAATATATGATCTTTTGTGACTGACTTTGTTTACTTAGCATCATGTTTTCAGTGTTCATCCATGTTGTAGTATGTGTCAGTACTTAATTTCTTTTACTTATCCATTCATCAACTGATGGATATTTGGGTTGTTTCTACATTTTGGTTATTATGTTGCTGCTGTGGATTAAATTATTTCCCCAAAATATATATACTGAAGTCCTGGCCCCTGTACTTATGAAGAGGATCCTATTTGGAAACAGGACTTCTTTGTTATGTTAATGAGGCCATACTAGAGCTGGATGGGTCCTAAACCTAATCACTTCTATGTTATAAAAAGAGCAGACTATCCAGAGGGGGAAGACGCCACAGGACATACATCTATAAGCACAGGAACACCAAGAGTTGCTGGCAAAAGACAAAGAAGGACCTTCCCCTCTGGCCATTCTTTGGATTCAGACTTCTACGAGAAAACAAATTTCTGTTCTTTAAAGACATCTACTTTTGGTACGTTTTCATTCCAGCTGCATTCGGTAACTAGGACAGCTGCTATGAACATCCCTGTATGAGTTTTGTGTGGACATATATTTTCATTTCTTTTGAGCATATATACAAGGTGTCTTAAAAAAATTTTAATGGATAATGGAATTAAAAGATAACAGAATTTCCCCATTAACTTTTTGATGCCTCCTCATACCTACGAGTAGAACCTCTGGATCACATGGTAACTATGTGCTTAACCTTTTGAAAAAATGCCAGGTTGTCTTCCACAGCTATTTCATATTCCCATTAGCAGTGTATGAGGATTCCAATTTCTCCACATCCTGCCAGCACTTGCCTTTTTAATTATAGTCATCCTAATGTGTGTGAAGTGGTATTTCATTGTGGCTGTGATTTGCATTTTTCTAATGGCTATCTTAGCTATTTCTAATTTCTACCACATACACACAAAAATACTAAGAATGTTATTTAAAGGACATAATGTGTCACTGAAAGTTTTAAACTTTAAAAAAGTATCTCTAACAGAATGATGAGGGAATATAGATTGAGAAAATTATATATATTACTAATTTCACGTTCTTAGGGTTGTTTCTAACCCCCAAAGTTAAAAATAGAATAAAGACTATGGTATGAGAATAGTCTGAAAATTATGAACATCTAAGTTGACATTGTCCCCGTTTTTAGATTATTCCTTTAAAATTTTTCTTCCTTATTTCCTCTTCTTTTCTTTATAAACAATAAATATTCATTTTTGGAAGATTATGTTTGTGGTAGGTATCAAGATTTAACTTGGTTCCAGAAACAGAGGATCCTAGGACCATCAAGAGAGAAGAGCATGAGCTGACCCAAACCAGAGAAGCAGTGACACCAGATGTAGGCAGAGGTGAAGTCATGGAGAGATTGAGTAGCTGAGGACTCCAGACTCACAGAAAGAGAAAGGCTGTGTGTTGGCGGCCAGGAGACTGGCTTCCAGAATATATAGCCCTGTGTGGTTTTTTCAATATATGTACTAGAGGGTAGACATGCATTGACATGGGTGATGAGGCAGGCAATATACAACCAGAAGGAGGTTGGTGGAGGAAAGATAGGGTGGCAGAAGACACAGGAAGGAATGCAGTGGTTAAAGTGAATAGAGGTCAATGCTGTCAACTGTTGGTGCATGGAAGGAATTGCAACCATGTAATGAAGCAAAGTATATGATTTGTTGAATGTGAAACTGATGATCTGCTCTGTAAACCTCCACTCAATTCACAATAAAAAGTAAAAAATTAAAAAAAAAAATTAACTTGGGAGTGGAAAATGTTAGGCAGAAAGTACATAAGCTGATGGCTGCCCTTGTTCGCCAAGAATAGGAACATATACTTACTCATCAAAGTTCAGTGCATTTGTCCAGTTCAGTATTTCATCCACTTCCCATTCCATCACAGAATTGATTCCACCATCTTCAATAGCTCTTAGCAGCCCTTTTGTTGCTGTGTGAATTAAATCTAGAGTTTCACGATTTGTTGACTTAGCTGCTAGACTTCCTGCGTAGTACCTAAACAGAGGAAAGCAAAGGAGGCATAAACTCTTTGAAATCAGTGATTACCAGTAGATGTAATTGATATATGTTATGGCACTATTTAATTATGAAATTAAGTTTTTATCCTCTACCACTCAGATGTATCTAAACTAGTATCTCTCTATGTGACAGGATATTAACCACAAAGGAATCATTTCAAAATCATCTCTTAATACTTACATTTTAAGGATACAAAATAAAAGTAAGTTATGAAATCACTGAATCTTAGAATGCTAGAGCTGAAAGGATCAATTAGCTAACCAATGAACTTTATAGGTGAGGAAACTAAATCCTGGAGAAGTTAAGTAACTTTTATAAGATTACCTGGTTAATGGCTGGTAGGAAGAGGGAAGGGAAGGGAGAAAAGAAAAAGATAGAAAGAAAGAGTAAAGAGAAGTACAATAGTAACACCTTCTTTGTGCCAGATGTTTTTCATACTTTGTCTTGTTTAATTCTTTCAAAGGGCTCCCTTTGTGGCATAGATGCTTTAGCACTGGATTACTAAGCATAAGGCTGGTGGTTGAAACCAGATACCCAGATGTGTCTTGGAAGACAGGACTGTAGATCTGTGTCTGAAAGCCCTCTGGAGTGCAGTTCTACTCGGCACACACACCAATGAACAACTTCTGAGGCAGTGCTCATAGGAGGAATCACTTCTGGTCATGTTAGGAGGTCTTTCCCTTCCTGCTGGTTGGAACATGAAGTATTCCTAACCCTGTGTGAGCTCCAAGGATTGTTTACCTGATCCTTTCCCCTGGTCTCTCTCTTGCTCAGGTGGTTTCCTCACGTGCATGTGCTCAACTGGAGACTGGCAGGTAACCTGCAGATTTCCAGAGCTATTGATCACTGTCGTGTGCATGTGCTCGCTCACTCTGTCTCTGCAGCTTTTTCCTTTTTGCTCACCTGTTCTGTGAATTTTAGCCACTTGGCCTCCACAAACTCTAACCTGCCAACTCAGTTCAGAGAGGCCTTTGGGTTCTGTTTGGATACCCCTTCCTGCACTGCAGCCTAGAAATTTTCTAAGTAGCAAGATGGAACAAATCTAAGGCTCATTTCTTTCCAAAATCGTTGTCCTGAGTTCCCCATTGTCCAGCATCTAAAAACATTTTACCTTATCTGTTTGTTTTAAAATTTTTATTTAAAGTTGTTGTTGTTAAGTGCCGTCGAGTCGGTTCCGACCCATAGCGACCCTGTACAGGGTTTCCGAGGGTATAAATCCTTACGGGAGTAGAAAGCCTCATTTTTCTCCCGCGGAGCGGCTTGTAGTTTCGAACCGCTGACCTTAAGTTTCGCAGTCCGATTCATAACCACTACGCTACCAGAACTCCTTTTATTTAAAGTAGGTGGGTAAATCTAGCCCTGATACACTATCAAGGTCTGAAACAGAAGTCCTACAAATCTTTATTTCTTCTTCTCTTGTGAAGTTCAGACATGATCTTACTTAACTGCCTGATAGTATTATTTTTAAATTTTTAAAAATTTCCAACACTTGTCTGTCAGTTTGTTGTACTATGGTAGTTTGTGTGTGGCTGTGATACTGGAAGCTATGACACCTGTATTTTAAATACCAGCAGGATCACCCATGTGATAGAAATGATGCTAGAGATCATATGAGAGAATTTTGCAATATGATATTTACCTTTTCCCTGTGTATACTACTTATAACCATAAGAAGAAGTGAAGTTACTCTACAGACTTTATAATCAATATTGATGTCATAAAGACTAAGTATCTCTGTCAGTCATCCAAAGCCTTGCCTGCCATTTTCATTTTGCTTTATGCTTCCATCATTCATAATCTGAGTCATCATTATGCCACTACAGGCTATGGATTATGTGTGTCCTATTACCCATGTAAGAAAATTACGTATGTTTTTAGAATACATAACTAACCCAAGTCCAGATTTAAAATGATATTTCCTGGGGTTCTTACCTGATACCTATTACTACATCAGCTAGTGTCTCAATAAGAAACAAATGGCATGCTCAATGTAGGCTAACTCAAGGAAAGTTTACTACTTATAAAAGTCTGGGTGCACAGGAATCGCACATCCAGAAACTCACTGGTGTAGGGATAATGCAATAACCCAGAGTGAGTATCACTGAGCTAGTACTAGCTCTAGGTCTGAAGTAATTACTGAAGAAAACAGTAACCAGAAACTAAAAGAGCAAGTCATTGAGTCAGTTAAGAGGTGCAGTATCTTTGATTAAGAGGTACAGTCAGTTCAAGTTATCATCACAGTAAAGGAACAGAGGAAAAATACCACTCAGATACTTTTCTCCCCTTCTCTCATCTCTTACCCATTTGATGAACCGAACTGAAAACTGAGGGCACAGAAGACCCTTGTTATAATCTATTAAGGTCAGTCTCTTGGGGCAGAAAGAACAATGGAGAAGGGTTTAGGGTGTGTCTAAAGGAACAAACTGAAGTTATTTAATGCATAATAGTAAACACGTATTTTCTTTTTTGACATTCCAACAGATTATCATTTTCTTGATGTCAAACACTATACATTTTCCCATTTATATCACAGAGATTAACAGTGTCAGGCACCTAGTTGTATTTAATGTGTATTGAATGTTTGCTTTGTATGTATTTTTTAAAACATAACTATAATATGTTTTCTTTTAAAACTAATATGTAATTATTTTTTTAAATTTAAAATATTGGGTAAATCACTAACTAGAGGGTTGTTGTTATTTTCAGGTGCTGTGGAGTCAGTTCCAACCCATAGCGACCCTATACACCACAGAATGAAACACTGCCTGGTCCTGCTTCATTCTCACAATCATTGTTACACTTGAGCCCATTGTTGCTGCCCTGCCATTGTGCCAATCCATCTCATTGGGGGTCTTCCTCTTTTTCGCTGACCCTTCACTTTACCAAGCATGATATCCTTCTCCAGGAACTGGTCCTTTCTAATAATATGTCTGAAGCATGAGACACAAAGTCTAGCCATCCTAGCTTCTAAGGAACATTCTTGTACTTCACCCAACACAAATTTGTTTGTTTTTCTAGTAGTCCATGGTACTTTTAATATTCTTCTCCAACACCATAACTCAAATGCATCAAATTTTCTATGATCTTCCTTATTTATTGTCTAACTTTCACATACATATGAGGCTACTGAAAATACTATGGATTGGGTCAGGCACACCTTGATCCTCAAACTGATATCTTTGCTCTTGAACACTTTAACGAGGTCTTGTACAGCAGATTTGCTATTGCAATACATCATCTGATTTCTTGACTGATGCCATAGTGATAGTGGATCCAAACAAAATGAAGTCTTTGACAATTTCAACCTTTTCTCTATTTATCATGATGTTATTTACTGCCCCAGTTTTCTTTACATTGAAGTGCAATCTATACTGAAGGCTGAGGTCTTTGATCTTCATGAATAAGTATTTTAAGTCTTCTTTGCTTTCAGAAAGCAAGTTGTATCATCTGCATAGCACAAGTTGTTAATGAGTCTTCCTCCAATCCTGTTGTTCTGTTCTAAAAGCTGCCTCTTGATCTATATGCAGGTTCCTGATGAGCACAGTTAAGTGTTCTGGAATACCCATTCTTCATAATGTTTTCCACAGCTTATAAGGTCGAAAACCTTAGTCAATAAAACACAGGTAAACATCTTTCTGGTATTCTCTGCTTTCAGCTAAGATCTATCTGACGTCAGCAGCACAATAATATCCCTCACTCCACGTCCTCATCTGAATTCCACTTTGAACTTCAGGCAGTTCCCTGTTGGTGTACTGTGGCAATCGTTTTTTAATTATCATTACCAAAATTTTACTTGCATATGATATTAACGAGTCCTGGTGTGGAGTTGTAGGTTAATGCGCTGTACTGCAAGGTCAATTTGAACCACAAGGTTGGTGGTTCAGGCTCACCACCTCGGAAACCCTATACAGAGTCACTATGAGTTGGAACCAACTCGGTGGCACTTAACAACAAGAACAATGATATAACAATGTTTTCTTATGATTTCTGCATTCTGTTGGGCCATCTGTGTTTGAAATGGACATAAATATGGATCTCTTCTAATCAGTTGACCAGGTAGCCATCTTCCAAATTTGTTGGCATAAATGAAAAGTGTCTCTAGGGCTGCATCAGTTGGTTCAAAGATTTCAGTTGGTTCAAAGATTTCATCAATTACCAGAGTCTTGTTCTTTGACAATGCCTTCAGTTAACCTTGGACGTCTTCCTTCAGTACCATTGGCTCTTGATCACTTGCTACCTCGTAAAATGGTTGAACATTGATCATTTCTTTTTGGTACAGTGTGTTTTCCTTCCATCTTCTTTTAATGCACCATTCACTATTTTGTCCATAGAATCCATAAATATTTAAAGTCAAAGCTTGTTGTTGTTTTTTTTTCCTTCAGTTCTTTCAGCTTTTGAAATGCTGAGCATGCTCTTCCCTTTTGGTTTTCTAATTTCAGGTCTTTGCACATTTCATTGTAATACTTGACTTTGTCTTCTTGAGTTGCTCTTTGAAAAGTTCTGTTCAGCTCTTTTACCAAAATAAATTAGAGGGTAGACACTTAGTAACTTGGGTGAAAAGAAATACATTATACAATAAGGGGGAGGTCTGCACAAAATTATTAAGGCAGACACTGGGAAGAGCACAAGAGTTAAAGGTAAATATTGTACACACACAACCCTGCATTAACAGTAATAGCTGTGATCTACAAGTGGGTACATAGGTAAACATGCAAGCTGAACAGGGGTGGGAAGGTGAATGGGACTATATTCATTCAGGAATGACAGAGAATATTCCTCCATAGGTGCTGCAAATACATTCATGAATATAATAGAGAATACAGTAAGTAAAGTTATGAAAACTTTTGAGTCATAACCAAATACCTAACGGAATTAGTCACTGGGTTTTGGAGCTCAGAACCACAGTTTCAGGGGATACCTAGGTCAATTGGCAGAACACAGTCCACAAAGGCAATGTTTTAAATCGTACTCTGGTGAGTAACAACTGAGTTCTTAAAAGCTTTTGAGTGGCCATCTAAGGTAAAACTATTGGTTATCCCCTGTTCAAAGCAAAGAAGAGTGAAGAAAATAAAAGATGCCTGGAAACAATCAGTACAAAGGACTAATGTACCCATGAACCTCAGCCTGCTTGATCCTGAGACCAGAAAAACTAGATGGTGCCTAGCTACCACTGCTGACCACTCGGAAAAGGATCACAATGGGAGGTCATGGACAGAATGGGAGAAAAATGTAGAACAAAGCTCAAAATTATAAAAAAGACCAGGCTTACTGGTCTGGTAGAGACTGGTGAAATCCCTAAGACTATGGCCCTTGATCACCCTTCAGGTCTGGAAATGAATTTACCTCCATAGCTCACCTTCTACTCAAACAATAGACAGGCTAGTTTTTAGGTGAGCAATAAATAACTCCAGGGAGGTATTTACACCTTAGAGCAATCAACCATAAGAGGTCAAAAGGGCAGCATTTTGCCCAGGGATAAAGTTCAGAAGGCAGGAAATGATCTGAAAGAAGGAAGAATGGAAATGGTAAGTAAACACAGGAAGTAAGTCAGAAGAGTTTTGTTACATTGTGGGCAATTGCAATCAATGTCACGAAACAAAATGTATAAACTGTTGAATGGAAAATCAATTGGTTCTGAAAAAATTCAATTAAATTACAATAAAAATTATTTTAAATTTAAAAATACTCTATACTTCATTAGCAAATATAACTATTTCATCAACTTACATATGCTGCATCCATTCTATTTTTCTAATTTTTCTTTTCTTTTCCAAATCTTTCCTTCTCTTTAGTTTAGAGAAATGGAATTTGCTTTCTCTTTTGTCTTCCAGCATAACATCTTCACTAGGCATCCAAAACTATTGAGAAATGAAAAATTAATGTACAAAAGTTTGAAATACTGCTTGTGAGGCTACCTGGGTATAGAAAAGAACTTCTGTGCAAGAAGATTTCAGCCAGAACATGACAGGATGTAAACAGAGGGGAAGATAAATTCATTTAATGTATTTGTAATTAAGTGATGAGTAAGTAGTACTTTGAGCCCTCAAAGGTAAATGTCTCCCAGAAAGAAGATACACATGCCACAGAGATATTTGCAAAGTACCAGTAAACTGAAATAGTTACTAAATATTTTTTGAACAAATAAATCAACATATTTTAAGAGATTGTCACATTCTCGATACTGTAGTGAATAATGCTTATCAGGACTGACTATGAGGGTTGGAAATGCAAAGGTAGAAGTTTTGTAACAAGGAAGGGAGTGATTAAATCTCCAGGATAGGAGCGGAGACCTCTGGGACCATCAACGGAGAAGAGCCGAGAGCGAGACCCTACCTAGAGAAACAGAGATGCCTGAGATGGAGGCAGAGATGATGATGTGGAGTGATGAAGCCACTGGGAACTTTGGACCCAGAGAGGGAAAGGGACTGTGGGCTGAAAACTGGGAGAAGGAGGGGGAAGTGTAGGGGGTGGGTTTCTGGGATATACCCTTTGAGTGGTTGATGATGCACGGAGGGGATTGGAACCATGGCAATGAGATGATATACGATGGAATGAATGTAAAACTAAAGTTCCCCCATGTAAACTATCATGTAATTCACAATAAAACATTAAAAAAAAAAAGAGAGAGAGAGAGACTGTCACATTCTCACATGAACAGACCTTACTTAATCTTAGTGGTATTGATTCTTGAAGACCCTAATTCTCAAGAAGTACAGACACTCTCCAGAAACATAAAAGTCCCTTCATTATGCCCTGAGATTTTGTGGGTTTGCTTGTATGGCCTAGGGATTCTAATTTCACATTCTGAGGGGACCTCGTGCAGTTATGTTTTTAGTGGAACTTCTGTCTAAAACAGGAAGGAAGTACTGGCTATTTGAAATCAGAAGTCTCAGGATGGGGGATTGTGAAACTATTTCATTCTTCGATTCTTTCATAACTTCCACCACAATGCTTTTAACACTCAGGGAGGCACCAGTACTTCCATTTCGCCCCGCCTTTGGGTCTTCTTCTTCCCATTGCCACCAGTAACATTACTTCCTAACTGGTAGATTATTTTCCCACTTCCAATTCACTGCTCCCTCTACCCACTACCCACTCCTTCCATACACACACATACACACATTAGATCAGTCTTCCTAAATAATATTTTTTCATGTCTGCTCTCATATCAAATATTCAATTGATCTCTACTGTTTTGTTGTTATTGTTCTGACTCATATCAACCCTATATAGGGTTTCCAAGGAGCAGCTGGTGGATTTGAACTGCCAACCTTGTGGCTAGCAGTCTAGTGTTTATAACGCCACACCATGACTTTAAATTCTTTCATTTGGCACTTTACATTCTGGCCATAACCACTATTTCTTGATACAAATGTCCTCAATGGTATCAATCTATTCAGCAGACTCTATAATAGGCATTCCAGTCTCCAAAATTTTATTCATGCTATTCCCAGGTCCCCTTGCCTCCTTCTTCATCTTTTCAAATTGTGCATATCCTACTTAAAGTATAATTTAAGTCTTTATTCCAAATTCATTCATCTCATTCTCTTCTGAACTTCCATAGCATTACAGAGACCATTGCTTTTAAAATGAACAACAATCTTTTGGGGTGATGGCTTTGTGTCATGGAGTTGATGCCAACTCATAGTGACCCTGTTTAGGGTTTCTGAGTTTGTAAATCTTTACAGGAACAGAAAGCCCCATCTCTCTCCTGTAGAGCAACTAGTAGATTCAAACTGCTGACCTTGTGATTAGCAGCCCAACTCCTAACTCACTATGCTACCAGTGCTCCAACAATTTTCTAGGGAAAATAATATCTTTTGAAGTCTACTTGAAGGTTGTGATAGTAGAAAAAATTAGTAATTGTTTACATATGCATGCTGGGGTTCTGTGGGGAGTGCAGTGGCTCTGTACAATAAGCACTGGACTGTGAACCACAAATTCAGTGCTTCAAACCTACTTGCCATTCTGCAGGAAAAAGATGAGGCTTTTTGCTCCCACAATGATGTACAGCCTCAGAAACTCTATATAGGGCTGCTACGAGTCAGAACTGATTCGATGACACCTAACAACAACAACTGGTGTTTTGCAAATACTTTAAAATGAATATAAAACTTGGTATTGTTAGTTGCCATTGAGCCATCCCCAACTCCTGGTAACCTCATACACAAACAGGAAATGCTACCATCTTGGGTCATTCTCACAATCAGTGGTAGCTCTGCCATTGGAGCCATAGGTTTTCACTGGCTGATTTTTGTAAGTGGATTGTCATATCCTACTTCCTAGGCCATTTGAGTCTGGAAGCTCTGTTGAAACCTGCACAGCATCATAGTAATACACAAGCCACTACTGACAGATGACCCATGAGGTGTGTTGGCAGGAATTCAATCCCAGGTCTCCCACAAGGAAGGCACAAATTCTACTATGGCATCACCACTATCCTCTGCTACTTCTGATGATCTTTAAATTAAACCAAATTAAAATACCCAGTAGTTAATTCATTTCAATTCTGCTGGAGCTCAGGTAGTCACAGAAAGATATTGATGTTGAAAGATGCTACATTTCAAGATGGCAGAGTTACATCAGATTTCGCCTCAGAGCTAGCATACAGACCTCACCTTCTTATTCAGAGAAGTGGTAACTAGACTGCTCTTTTTTTTTAAAAAGTAGATACATCAACTGAGCAACTGACTTAAAGGAAAAGTGGTCCTATACCCCCTACAACAATGCTATCTAAGTGGAGAAACACTCAGGATAAAAAATAGCTTCTGAGACTTGGTGTCAAAGCAGAAGGAGTCACAGTGTGCTACAGAATCAATGAAACAAACAAATACAACACTCTGCAATACTTTCCAATGGCCAAAGAAAGTTAGGAAAATATAAATGTTTGTTCTTTGTCTACTTCAACTTCTAGACTAGCAATTTTACTTATATAACAACTGGCAGACCTAGAAAACTATGTAGTCATAGTTTTGAGTATGTGTTTTATTATCTTGTCCTCTGATACAAGATATATGATAACATTATGTATAATCCAGTTACAAATGTAAATTCATGGTGAGGATAATTTTGAACTTATTGATAATGGTGGTTTGAATGAGCAATAACAATAACAAAATATTTCATCACAGAGTATGAGTGTGAATATGAAGATATATCAGCTATGAGCTTTTGTAAAAAAAAAAAAGTTTGATTCAAGAATAATAAAGCATAAAATCATTCAGGCATTGCATTGACCATCTGAAAACTGTACAATACTAAGGTCACGTTATGTATTTTTTTTTAATTCAATTTGAGATAGAGTACCAATTAAACATATAAAATTGATATTAAGAAGAAAGTCTTAATTCTTTCAAGTACTGAATGTTTATTATGCACCAGGTACTATATTAGGCATTAAAGAGACAATGACCCACCATCAAGAAGCTCTCGGTTTAGTATATTTGAAAGTTGTCTGGGGTCATGAAACCATGAAAGGAGTTAAGTAAGCCAAAAGACAAAATACAGAGAATTCAGAGGCAAAAACCATGATACATAGTTATCTGTATAAATCACAAGAAAAGAAACCAGAAAATTAGAGGCAAAAAGGTAAAAGGAGACCGGAAGGTCATGAGAGTCTGGAGAAAGGAATGTTTGGCAATTTCAAGTGCTTTGGAGGTACCAAGAAGAATAAGGCAAGGATTCGGTACCAAGACACCATTGATGACCTTTGAAACAGTAGCTTATATAGAATGGGACGAGTGATAATTAAGGTTTTGTGTCAACTTGGCTGGGCCAGGAATCCCAGTGGCTTGGCAATTGAGATAGGGTTATCCTCATGGTGAAACCCAATATAGGCATAGATAACTCTATGATGACTGGCTATAAGCAGCCTGCTCCCAATAAATGGACATGCAAGATCTGGATCTTCCATCTGGGTCGCTCTCCAACCTCTTGTCCTTTGAACCTGAACCTGTGGCCTACTCTATTGTTTTTCTGCTCATCTGCTTGCTGGGCTCCTCTGCGGATAATGGTTCACCTGGTCTGGGCTTACGATTCTCTCACCTCTATAACTGTGAGCCATTTACTTGATATAAACTTCTTTTTAAATATATATACCTATATAGGCTTCACTGGTTTTCCTTCTCTAGAGAACCCAGCCTAAGACAGGACCACTGAGGCTAATAATAGAGAATTGAGAATTGAGTGGATGGAAAAAACAGAATTAACATGTGTCATAATCAATGCAATGACAGTGGGTTTTGGGGTAGGAAAGAGAAAACATGGCAGATATAACTTTTGCAGGTCCAGGGATAATTACTGCAGGCAGGCAGGAAAGGGCTAGTGGGACGAAATAAGAAGTGACTATTGAGAGAAACAGTTGGGAGTGCTGAGAAGATACGGGATCAGAAAATAAGGAAAAGATATAGCTGAGCAAAGGAAAAAAGACTGGTATAAGAATTCTGAAAGTGTTTTTCACTGAGGAAGCAAAGCCATCTGGAAACAGTAAGGAAGTATACTACTATTTTGGAATTATAGAGGATTGAAAAGTTTTGGAATAATTAATGAGGGTAGAATGAAAAAGAATAAACCAGGAACAAATAAATAAACTACTGAATTTACAGTAAGATTTCCCATAGGCAGTAATAGCAAGGTTAAAGAACAGAAAGATTAAGCCATAGGAATCTAAGGTAGGGAAGAAGGCCAGAAGAAAGCTCAGGTATAATAACTTAAAAAGTTGAAATTCTTGATGAGAAGGGGGAAGACATGAAAAAGAAACAATACATTGGGAAACATGGAAAATTCTATTATTTACATTTTTGTCTTTTGATCTCTGACTGTACCTCCCTTAAAAGATATGTTAGAAAACATCAATCTA